CGCGGCGGATTCAAGTGACGGACGTGAACATCAAGTTTCTCCGTTGATTTGTCGAAAGCTAAGACTACAGCGCTAGGACTACAGCGCCTCGGACGCCTCACCAGCGACGGGTGCCATCTTGTTTCGAAAGTCACTGACGTCACGTCAGCGTCGCGTTGTGATTGGTTGCCGCTTTGCGGTTCGTGAAAGCGGTTGGGAGAAATCGGTCCCGAAGCGGTTGGCAAAAACGCGCTCCAACCGCTCGATCCTAGCCGCTTTGCGGTTGAGAACGCGCGGATCCGCTTCGCGAACGCGGATCCGCTTCCAGTGTGAACGCGCCATTAAAGGGGGACCAGCAGAAATATTCTTCCGCCTGGCGGAAAGTCCTCCTCGCCCTCTTTCTTTCTTGTATTGTAACACGGCGAGGCGACGGGAAAGGTCCCCTTTTGCGCCGGCTTCTTCTGAGAGGATAAGCCGAGAAAATCCCCTTTCTGAGCAACGGGCGATGAGTGCGGCAGCAGCGACCTCGTGACTTACAGTTGTCTTCAGCTCCTATCGCGTAATCTGCCCTATTTTTTGGCTCTCGCCAAGCCTAGCCCCTCGGGGGTAGGTTTTACCGAGCTGCAAGGCTGCGCCCTCGCAGTCACCAAATTTGAACTGTAAAAGTACTTTGGTTTAGCCTGTGGCAAAGTAAACGCACACTTGGGAGCTGCGATGCATCCCCGCACCCAATGAAGGAACGTTTCATATATAATCTCAGTTGATCGTCTAGTTCTACAGTCACGCCTTCGCCACCAATCATGTCTGAATGATTAAAGACGGCATTTACCACAACCTCCCGACAAAGGCTCGCCCAATCAGTTATTGTCGTACTTGCGATATCAGCCTCCCGCTGAATGACGGCGTACGGTAGGTTCTGGCATCCGGAGGATGATTTTCATGAGTTAATTGGAGAAGCGTCGGGTGCGATCCTTCGAAAAAGGAACCGCTCCGTACCGAGACCTCACCCCGGCACTGAACTTTGACCGGCTTCCTCTTGGGCACCTCACGAGTCATCCACAAACCGCCCCCCCCCCCCCCCCCCCCCCCCCCCCCCGTGTAGCCATCCGCAGATCTAGCGCGGACTTGCAGCTTCGCACTCTGGACACGCTCGAAAACCCAAGAGCCAGGAGCAAGCCAACGCGCTAAAGCAAATTAATTGCTTCAAGAGGGTCTTTCATGGCGCCAAGAAGACGGCACAAGTTGAACGCCATGGCACTGCGATGCTCGCCTCTGGAAGAATAAAACGCCGAGGGAGAACTCGCGCTTCTTTGCATTTATTATTTTTATTTCATCCGCCATTTTATACCTCGTGACACAATTCTAACAAACTCATTAATTGATCGGTCGGACCACACCATCGCGTCACAAAACAAACGCCAAACGTATGTCCACAGACGGCATCGTCACAGAGAAGGGAGCAGTCGAACCCAACAACAAAATAAAGTAACAAAGTGAATAAAAAAAAAAAAATAAGGGAGCCGTGGAGTTTCGGAAGGCGCTTCTTTGATGAGAGGAGCTGCTCTGGCCAGAGCGGCCAGAGTAGCCGTGCTGCTCTGGCTGCTCGGAATATTCCTTTTTTATTCTTTTTTACTCTACAGGGTGCCACGACCCTTATTTGAAGCTGATGTGTTAAATGAATAACAAACAACGCGTTGGAACGGAGGAGGTAGAGAGTCTTGGCGTCAGAATTTGACGTGGTAGAAAAGAAAAGAAAATAACGAATGCACAATACATACCGTATGCCAAGACCGTTATACTCCGCACTTGGCGAGGCCTTATGACGCAGCGGACGACCGTTAGGCTATTTATTTTGTGTCTTTAGATTTTTTATCGTGACGACTACTCCACTGTGCCTCGGAGTCTCCAGCGGAGATCCGGCAGGTTTTAATAATTATTATTGTCGTTTGAAGGGCACTCTTTCATGCTGCTTCGTTCCTCACGCCATAAAAATATTCTTTCTGTTTAGATTATAGGCGCGAAAAATCCACACTGACTGGGGCCTGAGTAACAACTCTGCATTACTCAGGCTCTAGTCCGTGTGGATTTTTCGCGCCTACAATCTAAAAAGAAAGAATGGCATACACACACATCAGACGCGCACGCACTCAAAGTTGGTCCAGAAGTCCACTGTCCCCGACGTGTTTTTGTATCGCTTTCAAAACGATACACTGATACCGCCAAGTGTTCCCCGCCCAGGATTTTGGTGACATTAAATAGTCTACTTGTTGTCTCTCTTACTCCCTCCCTATCTTGCGGCGCATTTTCTCAAAAGTGGTCTATGGTCCAGCAGTTGCAGCGTTGTTCTCGTGTCTTCTCGTTAGGTGCTGTATTTCACGCATACACACAAAAGATGCTAATAATGAAGCGAAATAACCGTACTTATCAATTATTGGACTAATTTTATTGGTCTAATTGTATCCACAAACCAATCCGACCATGAACTAAACTTTTTTTATTTTTTATAAGTAATCCCGCGCCATATTTTTATGGCGTCAGGAACGAAGCAGCATACGAAGAGTGCCCTTCAAACGACAATAATAATAATTATTAAAAACTGCCGGATCTCCGCTGGAGACTCCGAGGCACAGTGGAGTAGTCGTCACGATAAACATTCTAAAGAAACAAAATAAAAGGCCGTCATTCGCGGCCATGCCGGTGTTTTATGCGCCGCGAGCGTTCGGTTTGCCCTGTTAGTTTCAAACCGCAGAAGATGCAGTTCGATGAAATCACTAAGTACAAATAACCGTCAGTACACCCAGCAATGGCGACACTTGCAAGCTATTCATACTTGTGAGCGACCTAGCCCAAAATTCGTTTCATGGCCCCTTTAAAGGGGCCATGAAACGAATTTTGGGAGGGAATAAATGATTTTAAATTGGGACTTTACTAATCGCATATCGTTTAGCTGGCCAAAAGAAAGAGGGTAGAAAGTCAAAAGCCAGCTTTTCGGTACGAACATTTGAAAATATAGCGACTATTTTGTAGCTTCCTTCCTTCGAAAGCTCTCCGCCTTTTCACTATGATACATTCGCGGTTCCCAAAGCGCGTCAGCGGTGCCAACCTGACGTCAGTCGAGCCCAGTTCACGTATTGGACACGAGAACTGCGTCACTCGGACGTACGCGCTCGTCAACAATAAATCCGTCGTCGAATATTCGGATTCGCGTTCGTGGCCCAATAAGTGCCCAGACGGAACTTATCATCACTGGGGAATGACAAGCTCTATGGTGTTCATAAAAAGCACGGTGGAAGCTAGGAGTCATCGCACCGGTGCCGAAAAATGTCACGACGACGTGAATTCACAATTCACATTTGAGTTGAGGATTAAAGCTAAGCAGGAAGAAGTAGGAAAATCGTATCATGACCCTTTTAAGCTGAAACGAGGCATAGTTCTCTTCACGCTGCCCATCGCTACGGGGCCAGTACCAACTAGACGTCATGCTTGGGTTAAGATAAAACCCGAGCATGAAGTCATCGCGTGTGGATACGCTGCCCGCTCCAAGCGGCAAGCATGCTGAAGCTCAACGAGAGTACGCCGCAAAGCGGCAGAAGCCTCCGTCTTGGCGTCTCCACGTGCTAGCCGCCTTTGTCTACACTGCACTCGTCGAACGCGTTGGAACGCGGAACGCCGGCGTCCGGTATTCGGATCTCACATTCGAACGCGTTCGACAAGTGCAGTGGAGACAAATCCAGCTAGCTTTAAGTCTACCCACTAATCAGTCTAATCAAAGTTCGGCGTTTTGACCGTCCCCTCTCGTCTCCTCCTCTCCCTCAGTTTCTCGGCGCGTTGTGACGCTGCGAGACGCGTTTGCCGTGATGCTGGCACAAGCTAGGCGGCGCTGCATGAATTCCCTATAGTGATGACGTTTGGGAAGGAAAGGTGCAAACATTCTCTTCTGTTGACGACGTGCGCCATCGAAAGCATCGCTGTGGCCGGCCTTCCACGATTGACCGAAGGATGACTATGACGTCAGCAAAGGATTCCTCATCCTTTGCTGTGTTGGTAGTGCCGGTTTCAAGGCGCAATCATTTCAGGCTTCCGCAATGCTAATTACAAACACCATCGAACTCATTGTTCGCAAAGTAATGACGTAACGGAAGGAAGCCAAATGAGGGCATACCAAAACATCTCGCCACTAAAGCTTGGTTCAGACAGTTGCGTTTGACTGCGTTTGACTGCGTTGCGGCAGCGAGAAACCAGGACATCCCTGCTGCTTCTATCGCGTGCCAAGATGATTCCTTGAATTGGATTCCACGCTTCATACGAAGCACAGATGTGCCGGTGACTCGCTTTCGGTTCTCGACGCAACGCAGTCAAACGCACTCGAACGCAAGTGTCTGGACGGGCCTTAATAGGTGGTCTCTAAGTGGTATCGCAAAAGCATGCCAGGATCACGAGCTTCCTCCTCGAATCGCAATGCTCGAGAGCTCGAGGTAAATGCTCTGGCATGCGCGCGCAGTGTGTTCGACTCAGACACGACAGCGAGACGACTTCTTGGTTCCCTGCCGATCCACGACAATGGCCAGTGATGGGTGAGCCTCCATGATGGCCTTCGTGGCGTCTTGCTTTTATTCGCACACATTTGAATCCATCTACGTTTTTGTGGTATTGGACAGCTTTCTAGACTCGCTTTTCGGCACCACCGACGAGCACCAGAGGACTGTGGATGTGCTCAATACTTCGAGGCAAGTGCTGTTTGAAAGCTTTCCAGCTTGTTATCCTAATGTTTACCGTTCGTAAAGAACCTTATTCTGTTTGTTTCTTTAAAACGACAGAACAAGCATATGTCAAACGCGGCTTTTCAGATGCTTATCTTTAGCTTACTTGTGATGCCAAGCTTGCATCACCCGTGCTTAACGCTTCAATGGACGATTGTCGGAATTCACGACTCCCGAGCGTTTGGACGAAATACTTCTCCATTGTGCTCACGTAATATGAAGCGTCTGCTGTTCAACGCTATCGCACTCAATTCCTCAAGGATGTCATGCACCTACCTTCAAACCGTTAATTTACTAATATTTACTGTATCTAGCGATCTGATACGTCTTCTGTTGAATGTTACGGGTAGCAACATCAATATTGCCTGTCTCAGACTCCACAGGAAGGATGACACTGCGGTCGTCGACTACCTCACAGTCATCCTCGTGATAGTAGTAGCGGGTAAGTGAACCTCTCAAAAATACTGTACGGCAAATTTCTGAGGTTGGTAGAAATCTTCTTTCTTATTTTTTTGCACTCAAAATAGATTTTGGTGCTTCCGGTTCTTGAATCTTGTGAGATGTTGTGAAGGGACAAAAATACTGCGAATCCAGATAAGAAGCCTCACAAAAACTTTTCGAGAAAAATTTGAATGTGACGTCATTCCTCTACGGAGATGATTCTTTCCCAATGATGCCGTCTTCATATATGTAAAACTGTAAAACACAAGGACAACTAAAAGGAGGACAAAGACACCACGGCTTACTCACGTCTTACTTTCTTTATTTCTTCTTTAAAACTTATAATAAAAAAAGGCAAAGAAAAGAAGTTACAATCTCTGTAATACGACATTAGAGCGCAGCTCTTAAGCTATTTTGATTTTGCGATATACCGTGCTAAACGTTTTAGAAAGATATATATATATAATATATATATATACAAAAATAGATCACTCTCCTCACATATTGGTTCTGCACCCTCTTCTTCCTTCGTACCCTCCTCCTCCGTATTCTCCCCTCCTCCTCTTCCGTACCTTTCCCTCCTCTTCCATACCCTCCCCTCCTCCGTACCCTCTCCAACCCCCTCCTCCTCCTCTGTGCCCTCCCCTCCTCCCACAGCTTCACCGCTAAATTTAGCTGGAAAATTGACGCCACGTCTCCTCACACCGAATTCAATTTTCTCGCTAAATTTAGCGGGGTAAATGACGTCACATGACTTCGCGTCACGTCGCCTATGAGCAAATTCAGTTTCTCTGCTAGATTTAGCGGGAAAATTTACGTCACGTGACCTCAACACCAATTCAATTCTCTGGTTAATTTAGTGGGGAATTGAATTGGTGTTGAGGTCACATCCCATAATGCAACGCGGCGCATTCAGTTTCCCCGTTAAATTTAGCGGTAAAACTGTCGTCACATGACCTCAACACCAATTCAGTTTCCCCGCTAAATTAAGCAGGGTAACTGTGACGTCCCATAATGCAACGCGAGCGGTTGCGCCAACGCAGCTCAACAAGGAAACAAACGCTGCTGCGTCGTAAAAAAAAGAAAAAAAAAAAAAAAAAAGAAGAATCCCACATGTACAACATCTTCACTGTCATTTTTTGGATAAAAAACGACAGTGAAGATGTCCTACATGGGGATTATTTTTTTATTCTATGTCGTCTTGTTTTGACGTGTTTTTAAGAAGAGAAAAAGAGAGTAAAGGCTAGCCCACATGGTGCGCTTTTCTCCGCGTCTGCGTCGCGTCTGCGCCTGCGCTTTGACGTCACTTCCGGCGCCGGGACGAAACTCTGCGTTTTTTGGCGCATTCCGGCGTATCTGGAGGAGCCAGATATTTTGCGTCCACGCGTCGCGTCTCGCGCTGCGTCCAGAAGGCAACAACCAATGAACCGCCGTGTTCACTAGTTGCAAGGAGCGTTTGAATTTTCTTCACTCTTTTCGCCACTGTAGGAGGGTAGTTTTCGCCACGGACCTCGCGACAAAGGCGATAATAATAATAATAATAATAATACTCTTTATTTGCACATATTGCGATACCCACTCGGCAGCGTGCGAGGCAAGGCAAAAAGGTTGAGACCCTTACGCAGGTGGGCCTGCTAGCCCCCCGCCAAGTAGGGAAAGGGATACGGGAAAGGAAAATAAATAAAAACACTCGAAACATAAAGATACACACACAAAAACGGGTAGCAGCCCTGTGCCATTCCAAGGCAGAGCGCACGCGCGCACGCACACACGCACACCCGCGCGCGCGGAGTTTACAAAATTTGCACGCTCGCGGCCTTAAATAAAAACGGCTTTTAGGCCCCGCCAACGCTAGCAGCAGGGCGAACATGGGTAGTTACGTCCTTCCCCCCGCGGATATCAGTTTATCATACCTTTTACACAAGTCCAGGGAATCCTCTCTGCTCCGCGGGAGAGGCTGACGCTGCTTCAGCGGAACAGAGAGGACCTAGCAAAGTACAAAAGCGTCCTGCACTCTGGCAGGCCAAATGTAAAGAATACAAGGACACCGAGAGACAAAGGTACAAAATTAATACTACCGGCAACAACTGCAACAACGTAACCTGTGTAGCGGCCAGCGGCCAGCTGTAAATGTTTTGGCGCGGGCAATGGTGATGCCAGTGGCGTATCGAAACGTGGATGAGGCGTACGCACTAAAAAGGATGAAAATTAGTGAAATTGAGCTTCATTGCGATTGCTGTAATAAAAATGAGTGCTTACTATAACTAAAATTAAATATTACGGCATGTAGCCATCATTTACCGCGCGATTTCTATTTAATATTTGCTTTTGTTTCTTAAGCGCGTCTGGCTACGTTGGGCAGACGCTTCGGAAACGCAGACAACGCAGACGCGAAGCGCTGCACGGTAGCGCTGCGTGTGGTTTGACTGGGCGCACGCGTCCTGCTTAGCGCGCGCGCCAAGCCGAGACGCGCGTCTAGACGCACTGAAAAACGCGCCATGTGGGCTAGCCTTAAGTCGTAAGTCAGCGCTGTGTCTGTGTCCTACTTTTTCTTGCGTTTATTTTTTTCGCTGTTTTATTTATGCGTTTACTATGCACCGCCGGCTAGCACACCTCCAAGCATTAATGCCGCCTTTGACGCGACGCCTTTATGGTGTGAAATATGTGGAGGGAATCTAAGTGGCATCAAAATTCGGGAATGGATAAAGCGAAAGAGTTTGGCCGAAGTGAGGTCACACCGTAGCAACCGCCCAACAACACCATGACTTCAGTGACGCAGTTGGAGGCTGAGCGCCATTTTTAGCGTACGGTCCACCGGTGCGCACCAAAGAGCAAATGAAGTTCCACGACTCCTTCTATAGGCCAATGCGCACAATTGGCAACGTGCGCGACCAAAGGCGTTTCTGGGGTCGACCTTCCAGTATTGGCCAAACGCTAATTACGATCCGTCTTGAGTAGGAATATTTTTTTTAGTGCGAAAGCATCAACTGTCTTATAAAGCGAGCTGACGTCATCAGTTTGAAGCGCGAAAACGGCACATAGTTTCCCCGATCCTTCGGTTCCATTGGCTGGTGCGCGTCGACGGGGCTCCCATTGGCCGCTGCGCTCGTCAGTTTCCACGACCGCTCACCCCATGGCGCTGCGTGTCCATCAGCGCGCCGTTGCTCCCTTGGGCACGATGACCGTGCCCAGAGGAGCACACGCGCCGACCGGCGACGAAAAGTACGCAGCAGACGAAAAAGGGAGCGGACGAGCGGCTTGCACGCTTTCGCAATCACAGCTCATAAAGAATGCTTAGGTGCACCTCGATCTTTTCTCTTTTCAGTAATCAGACTACTATCAGACTGCCCAATTCGACGGCATTGGTCTAAGAATTAGAAATGCCATCCAACTTGTCGTACGCGAATGAAAATCTTGATCATGTCACCACGGGTATAAACCCATAAGGGGGCTCCACCGAAACATCTCGTCGTGAATATAGTCTGACTACGCTTGACTAAATTGCAGGGACGTACATCGGTACACGACTGCGGCTCACCAGGGTATCTCTGCTTTATACGGAGCGTGTGCCAATGCAAAGAGTATAGCTTTGCTCGCGACATAAGATGTACGGACGTGCCGGCGACTCGCGGTTGCATCCAACGTAACGTATTGAAACGTAGTCAGGCGCTGATACGCGAGTAAGCCCTAAATCGTCGCGTTTGCTCAAACGACCAAACATTGCGATTTTAAGTGCCCCTTCCAATTGATCGAATCGCGTGGTTCATGAATTTTCTGAGACAGCGCCTATCGGGGCGCGTCTCCAACTGCCCCGTCGATACGACCAGGAGGGATCTGACGAGGGTTCGAGTAAACGCAGTAGTCCACGATCACGGCTAGGCAGAGATATTGGGGAGGAGGACAGACCGTGACGCCCCAAGCGGTTAACTTTACAACTACACGGATGGGGACAATAAACACAGTGACTCAGCGCTCGGCCGACATAACCGAACGCGGCGTCAGCGTTCGGCTGGAGTTCGTGTTCTCCGGTGAGGGGGAGGAGGGGCTCTTTTGTTTCCACTACGGCCTGCATGAACAATGCAGCATGCACGGTCCCAGCTCAGCGCAAAAGCCGAAGTAGGTCAAGCTGGCATTCTCTGAGGGTAGATCCGGCACTTAACGTCGCTTCGTCGATTGTTAGTATTTTTTACATTAAACTGTGCCCCGCGCTCTATTGTAGAAGATGACATGGAGATGCCCATAAGGCCTGTCGGCATGTGCACAGGCCTTGTGTTGAGTAAACACCGAGCGTGGATAAAACAAACGGGTCAGAGCGCCCCCTATAGTTCGATCTCCTGCCCAATATTAAGAACTATACCGGAATGCAAATACTGAGATACATGTGTTTTAAGGTCGATATACAAATACTGAGATACATATGTCTTTTATTTAAAGGTATACTTCTAAGGCACTTCTGTAAAAACGACAAAAAAGTAGACCGAAATATAGATACATATAGTTATAGAAATACATTTGTTCTCGAACGGCGATATAGTGGGGAGGGTGTACTTCGTCGCGAATGTATATGGTAATTAATGCTCGTGTTCCTCTTTCTGTGCCATTTTAGTTTGATGTCTTTTACATTGAACTCTCCATCTATTCACTACTACCATACCCAATGACGCTCAAATACGCGGTCACCCCTGGTGAACCACGTTGTTACTGGAGGCCAATGACTGCTTCCCATGGTTGACAAGAGGTGTCTGCCCGAAATGGACCCTTTTATGCCGTGAGAGCTCTTCTCAAACTGTAGTCTAATGTGCTAGTCTGAGTCACACCCTTGGGTAGATTACACAAGAGAGCCGGACGTGTTCGCTTGAAGGCATCCTAGTTTTCGCGGAACATTTTGTTGCATAGGAGAAAAAAAAAAGCATTTCCCACAAGTGTTGCGCTGTCCATTTTTGGTTGTTTTCTCTTCTCCAATTACCTCCCTTCCAGCGTTTGCTCTGCTACATTGGAAAGAGTGGAGAGCTTTGTGGGAGGAGCTTATCCTGCCATTCTTGTAAATAACCTTCATCGAACCACAATTTTTTTCAAAATTTCGTTTTTGCTAGTGCTTGTGAGTTTCATAGACCAGGCTATGCGGCGGGTTCATTGTATAAATCCTGGAACACCTTGTATCAAACAGATGCATTTGGGTTTATCATAAAAAAAAAACAGATGTAACGAAATACCTTAGTATGACAGATTCTTGTGATGAAAACGATACATTGTAAATGTATTTCCCTGCTGATGTCCAAATACATTTTCCAATTGTGTCTCAATGCAGAGATACAGATTATTGAAAATACATCTAAAACACCATCGTGACACATCTGCATCGCGATACTGACCAGCCCGGGAACCCATGATATACCCTAAAAAAATTCGGTGCGCCTACTTCTTCGCAGAGTACTTGGAGGGACGATTTCTGCGATCGCCATACCACCCTCGGCCAATTACAATGTAATAAAAAAAGTTCTGTTTGCATAAAACATTGTGACACTGAGCATTACGTGAGCATATAAAACATCAAGCTTAGTATCACATCGCAGACGTCAGTTGTTGCTGAAAACCTTATTTTCGGCCTCGTACGTCATTTCCCGGGTGGATCATAATTTCTGACTCTTCAAGAGCTCTGCAAAAAAGTAGACAAGCAGCAATTTTTTTTTACTGCAGTTGTTTTATTATAGATATTTGAGATTGTGTGTGTTGTGTTCGTCCTTCGTTTTCCCCCACTCCCGGGGTTTGGTCCTAAATTAGGTTCAATCTTCACCAGCTAGCTTGAGTCCCAACGTTTTGTTCGTTAATAGTATCTACAGGGTGTTTCACGAAAAGTGAACAAAGTCGATATTGCGAAAACTAGGCGTAGGAACAAAAATAAACTTACGTGGTTTTGATCCTAGGCCAGGGGCCTATTTAGGAAAATTATTAAAGTTTAGGATAATTAAGTTGCTAATTAATTTTGCGTAATTAACTTTTTCGATATTCTGTTTAAGCGCTTGGTTTGAATTAGAAAACTGCTCAGCATTATCGAGAAACACTAAATCAATAAATTCTAGCACGATAGAAGGCACGCGCGGTATTTTACGGCTTTCTGAAAAACCGCACAGCTTCGACGGGTTTTTAAGTTTCGGTTTTCAATCGGAGCGCTTCTCGGCCCCGATGGCACCGCGCCCTGTGGAGAAATAGTGCAACCAGCCTCTGCTGCGCTGCGCGAGGACAGCGCAGCAGAGGTTGGTTTCACTAATTCTCCACGGGGCGCGGTGCCGTCGAGGCCGAGAAGCGCCTCCTCCTCTACCGCAGCCCTGGTGCGGAGGAACGCACCCCCGATATGAGTTTCAAAGCTTACAACCACTCTGAAATCAACTGAAACAGGGTGTACAAATGCGGAAAATCCACCAGTATCAAACACGATACTATATTTTCACGAAGTCACAAATCGTAGATGATGAGGTGACGAATGAACAGAAGCTAAACGTTTAATTTGGCAAAGTTGTGCCGAAAACAACAACAATAAACAAACAAAGAGGTAGCGTCGGAGGCGTCTAAGGTAGCAGAGAGGGTAAAAGAGAAAAAAAAATGCACTTCCCCTCTCCCCCGCAAGCCGTCCACTCCGCCAAGAGGGCTGTAGCTAGCGTCCGGCTGGCGTGCAAACTCTGTTTAAAATCGCGTCATTTTGGAACTTTCAAGCGCAGATGCGCAGATTTTGGTATGCCAGTTATCGTGTAATACTATGCTAGATAAAAAGACTCGCAGGGTCCAATTGCACTGTTACCTGCGTGCAAATAAAAAACAAAAATAGGGAAAACTGTGTCAGATTGGCCGGTCTCTTTGGCGAAAAGAAAATCCGGTTGCTGTACCTTTTTTACTATACAAAAGTTCGTACTGGTGTAGGCCTTTAGCGACCATGAGTGGAAGTCTGAAATAATAAATAAAAACGTGCTCTCCTGCCGCAATACACGCAGTAGTTGAGGGTAGTACTGCCGGCTGACTCAACTGCTATTTAAGTAACGGAAAAAAGATATGCTAGTTTATCATTTAGCAAAATAGAACAACAGAGAGCTATAGGCTGATTTTGGACTAGCCACAACTATCCTAAGAACGCGAACCACTTTATAACGGCAGCCACAAGCGAGAGTTCGGTGTTCGGTAGAGCCCGCCGATACAGCCCAAAGATGGAGAACGGCAACCTCCCGGTTTGTCGTCTGCTAGCGGAGTCGGCGGCGTGCCCTTTCTCTCGTTTTACCCCGTCGAACCCGCTGAACTTCCCGGATGTGTGGAGAGGGCGCTGCGGTCGAACAAAATGGTGCCGGCCAGGGAGCACTAAATATAACACGTTTGCAAGTCCGGCTTCACGGCGGCGCCATTTTGCCCGGCTGGGGTGCGCTCGGACGAGTCATAATCCGATTACGAAGCATTCCTAAGGCGTCGTAATCGGATTATGGCCGCGCACAAGCGCGCCCCAGCCGGGCAAGATGGCGGCGCCCTGAAGCCGGACTTGCAAACGTGTATACACGACCGAGCGCAAGAGCGAGATCGACTTCGGCGCGGCGTAGCTTTTTAAGTCTTTCCCTGGGAGCCTAGAATATTCTGAGTCGATCCTTCACGAAGTACATATGTACATTCTGAGCATGAATAGGCTTGACGGTTCTCCAGCCTTCCCGAATCTTCTACACGAGCCACCTGCGTGTAACCCAAATGCGCTGCTGACGATTACGCACAAACGCAATTCACCTCTTGTGTCGAAAAAAGAAAGGCTGCGTGTTTTTTTTTTTTTTTTTAGAATAAGTATCGAAGCATGGCAAAACGTTCAAGGTATAGTCCGTTTCAAGTCCCACCGCACCTGACGCTATGAATTCGATGGAGCCAAATCAACCAGCGCAACAAGGGCATCATAACGCTCGTCGGCCGGTGTTTCTTTTTTTTTTTTTTTTCTTGCGCGCGTTTGGTTTATTTTGTGATAGAAAACTTAAAAAGACAACGAGCGCTATGACGATGCACTTTCGGCGCTGTTTGATTGTCGGACTTGGAGCAAAATGGAGTATAGTCTAATGTTTATTAGGCAAGAAATATAAGGCAAATGCGATGGTTGTCGAGTAGACCTTTCGGTTCAGTTATGCACCTAAGGCTCGCCATCGACCCATTCGCAGGAGATACAGGGCGCTTCACCTTTTATGAATGTTCTTTTTTGTCACCTCGTGCATGCAGTGTCCCTGAAGAAAGTACAGCGCTCAGTTCATCTTCCCTACACCGTGTTCATGTTCATCGCCGGCCTCAGCATCTCGTACCGTGACACGGGCTCGAAAGGCCACGGCTCGCTCTCCGTGTGGCTGCGGGGCACCAAGTTCCACGTGCTCATGACCTTCGTGCCCGCCGCCACTGTGTACGCCACTCTGGGCATCAACCACTTCATCTTCCGCAGGTAAGTGGGAACGCTAGCGCCTTATCTGTACCGGGCAACGCAGAGCAGGCTGAGTACTTATCAAACTGAGAATAGATCAGGCTGAGCACAGTTGAGGCTGGGTACAGATCAGGCTGAGCATAGTTGAGGCTAAGCACAGATCAGGCCGAGAGCAGACCAGACTGAGCAGAGTAGAGGCTGAGCAAAGATCAGGCTGATCGCATACCAGACTGGGCACAGTTGAGGCTGAGTACAGATCAAGCTGTGCACAGACCAGGCTGAACACAGTTGAGGCAGAGCACAGGTCAGGCAGAGCACATACCAGGCTGAGCAGAGTTGAGGCTGAGCACAGATCAGGCAGAGCACAGACCAGGCTGAGCACAGTTGAGACTGAGCACAGATCAGGCAGAGCAAAGACCAGGCTGAGCACAGTTGAGGCTGAGCACAGATCAGGCAGAGCAAAGACCAGGTTGAGCACACTTGAGGCTGAGCACAGATCAAGCTGATCACAGATCAGACTGGGCACAGTTGAGGCTGAGCACAGATCAGGCTGGGCACAGACCAGGCTGAGCAGAGTTGAGGCTGAGCACAGATAGGCAGAGCACAGACCAGGCTGAGCATAGTTGAGGCTAAGCACAGATCAGGCAGAGAGCAGACCAGACTGAGCAGAGTAGAGGCTGAGCAAAGATCAGGCTGATCGCATACCAGACTGGGCACAGTTGAGGCTCAGTACAGATCAAGCTGTGCACAGACCAGGCTGAACACAGTTGAGGCAGAGCACAGGTCAGGCAGAGCACATACCAGGCTGAGCAGAGTTGAGGCTGAGCACAGATCAGGCATAGCACAGACCAGGCTGAGCACAGTTGAGACTGAGCACAGATCAGGCAGAGCAAAGACCAGGTTGAGCACAGTTGAGGCTGAGCACAGATCAGGCAGAGCAAAGACCAGGTTGAGCACACTTGAGGCTGAGCACAGATCAAGCTGATCACACATCAGACTGGGCACAGTTGAGGCTGAGCACAGATCAGGCTGGGCACAGACCAGGCTGAGCAGAGTTGAGGCTGAGCACAGATAGGCAGAGCACAGACCAGGCTGAGCACAAATCAGGCAGAGAGCAGATAACGCTGATCACTGATCAGGCTCAGAACAGATCAGGCTGAGCACCGATCAGGCTGAGCTCAGCTCGCACTGGGCACAGAACGGGCCGAGCACAGTTTAGGCTGAGCACAGTTTAGGCTGAGGACAGTTGAAGCGGAGTAACTTCAACGTTTCAATAATGTTATAATCCCCGCGTAACTAGCGTTCTTGCGCCTAGGCTTGATTATCCTTGTAAACTAATACAACTTTTTTTCGGCACTTTACTCTTTTTTTGTGTGTGACGTTTTTCACCATTAAATTAGATTTCTTATATTTGTCATCCTACGGCTGCTATGTCTACGCACCTACCTTGCTATGTCTACGCACCTACGCACCTACGTGGTCGTTTGTGCTCCAGAAATCCTCCCACTGTTTGTCTCGTCCCGTGTACATGTAGTATTATTTGTTTTTATGAGCTTTAGAGACACGGTATCATCATCATCTGCGAGAATCAAGAGCCACGTTATTGAATATACAACACGGGCACTTCACACCATCATACGTGGTCTCCGAGGAGGATATAAACAAATATGTGCAGATGAATGAACCGTACTTAATCCAATGAATCAAAGAATCAAAGTTTTCAGGAACCTGCCGAAAGCCAAAAATTGGCGGAGCCAGTGTTAGCACACCCGACCGGACATTGGGAGCAGAGCTGGCCAAATTACTCATATTTTGTAATTAAATTACATTACTAATTACTTTGCTGAAAATGGCTGAAATGTAATTAAATTACATTACAAATTACCACAACCAGAAAGTAATTAATTACCATTACAAATTACTTTTAAAAGTAATGACATTACTTTCGCATTACTTTTAAATACAAAGGAGCTATTGATAACTTCCTTTTACAGATAACTTTATTTACATTATTTACACAGTTCATGGCACACAGCTAGAACTCTCTGTTGCATGTTTACCGATGGACAGAGGAACGCACGCGACTCATCCGTTTCCCACCCCAACCCGGACAACTATTTTTGGAGATGACTGAGGACCCTACGCGGGATATCTCTGGGAGGGGAGAGAACAATTGTCATTGTTCGCAAAATCGCGTCGAGGGCCGTTCCACCAGGGGCCTTAGTTCGACCTACTTCCCCTCCTTCGTTTCCCGAGAATGTCGAGCAGAAAAGCTCGAATGGAAGGCACTTACCGGCCCTATTTCTCACAGTGGAAGATAACACAGAGAGGGTACGCAGTATGCATCAGAAAAAGTAAGCGGAAACTTTCAAGAGGGGCCAGAAAACGTCGAATTCAAAACCGCAAAACATAGGTAGAGAATCGCGCTGAGCGGGTTTTCACAGTTCAAGAGAGTGGCAGAAAATGTCTAGCTGATAGCGGGCGCGAGAGTCGCACCAGCCGCATCAGCATCAGCAACACAGCGGCGGCCAAAGAGCGTTTTTTGGAAAGGTGTAGAGGAAAAAGAAAAAGTAAAATAAAAAGAAAAGCGCTCTTCTGTATTGTGAACACAAAAAATATGCCTGGTGCGAAAAAGTAATTAGCTAATTTAATTACAATTACCGTCGCTGGAGTAATTCATTACATTACTAAATTACCTGCAACAAAAGTAATGAATTACATTACTAATTACTGGAACAAGTAATTAAATTACTGTAATTTCATTACAGTAATTGCATTACTGCCAGCTCTGATTGGGAGGCCCAGAGTTCAGATCCTGGCTCCGCCAATTTTTGGCTTTCGGCAGGTTGCTGAAAACTTTGATTCTTTGATTCATTGGATTAAGCACGGTTCATTCATCTGCACATATTTGCTTATATATATATATATATATATACGGGTGTTTTTGCGAAGACTTTCAAAAATCCTAAAAATTAGTGCGATTGCGAAAAGGAGAAACTCTCTTCGGGAACAAACTACCAGCCACGGCGGACGTCAGGAATTGCCAAAAACCTACTAATTAGCCAGATAATTAATTAAAACTGGTTAATTAACTTTTTAATTGGGGGAAATAGATATATGGTTCCAATTAGAAAGTTGCTGAGCGTTATCGAAAACCACTAAATCAGTCATTTTCAGAAAGACTTTGAGCGCGTGAGACACGAGTAGTAGTGCACTAAAATTACCACTCGTGGAGCAGGTACAAGGCTAGCGTTTGCGGTAAGGCGCCCGCGCGATTTTTCCGCCTCTTATCTAGCCCCAGCCTTGTACCTGCTCCATGAGTGGTAATTTTTGTGCGCTACTACACCTCTCAAGCGCTTAAAGTCTTTCAGAAAATGACTGATTTAGTGGTTTTCGATAACGTTCAGCAACTTTCTAATTGGAACCATATGTCTATTTCCACTAATTAAAAAGTTAATGAACAAGTTTTAATTAATTATCTGGCTAATTAGTAGGTTTTTGGCAATTCCTGGCGCCCGCCGTGGCTCGTAGTTTGTTCCCGAAGAGAGTTTCTTCTTTTTTTAATCGCCCTAATTTTTAGGATTTTTGAAAGTCTTCGCAAAAACACGCGGTATATATCTATGTATATATATATATATTTTCTGATAGTCACCGTGTTTTTCAAACTGAAAGTCTCTACTGGCCACAACGAGAAAGTGACGCCAGCGGAAGGCAGGCGTTCACTCCCTGGAGTGTAGAATTTCCACTGATTTCAAGCAGTCTTAATGTGTTAAAGGAATGCTTTGGAAGCTCGCTCCGCTACCCGCGCACCAGCGAGGAACAAATACTTGGCATGGTCTATTTTTAGACTGCTTGCTCGAATGGCAAGCCTGCCTGCTACTGACGTCACGGGACTGAAAAGTGCGGGTATATTTGAATGTCGTTTTTTGGACTTTCATTTGCCGATTTCACAATAATTATTAGGAATTTTGAGATTCTAAATACATTGTATTTCGAGATAAATATAAAAAAGTAATGGCAGAACTTCCAATGGCCGAGATAACTTTTGGTTGACCAGCTTCTTGTGTATGTTTCAATCAGCAAGAATGAGCAGCGCGTCTTTTAATTTATTATGGACGGAAAATGGGAAAAGGTATGTCGAAAACTGGTTGTAAGATATATCAGTGAGTGTTTCTGGACCATACCACGCTAAGAAAAAGTACAGCATCTCATTTTATTTGATCTCCATATGGCGAAAAGTTACGTGGCCTAGTGTAACTTGTGTACCTGACGGCCTAGTGCAAACTTGTGTACACGTGAGACATTCAACGAAGTTAGACGCCCACGAATCAACCGAAACATGCAATTGTTTCGTGTTTTTCGTGCACGGGAGTTGGTGCGCGAAAACAACATCGCTTCGTCAACTGCGCGACGTCGCTGCGAGTGTTCGAGCTAGCCAAAGCGAAACTACGCTAAGCCTGTCGGGCGTAGTTGAAGGAGGCTTTGAAGGATTGCGCCACTGGTGATCGATCGTGCCTGGGAAAAAGCGAGAGGTGCGTTTTCGACGACGACTAGAGATATCGTGATCGGGACAAAGCCGTCGCAGCGTGTAGTACAATTGCGCCCCTCGTTCCCTGCAAACATCAGGCGGCGTGTTTTCTACGACGAGTTGAGACATCGTGATTGTGACAACGTCGACCTACTGCGACGATCTTGTGAATGATATTCACGTGGATACAAATACAGACGCGGACGTCAAAAGGCTTTTTTATATTCAAGAACCCAGGCGATAAGGTAGAAAACTAGTTTCGCGTCCGACTTCTTACGATCACGCGAGACATATCGCATTTGTCCGAGCTGTTTTGTTTTGGGCAGATACACTCAAGCGTTCTTGTGTTTGACGACGTGGATGAGTAATAAAATCAAAAGGATGGTACTGATGCTGGTTCACGTTTTGCCTTAATCGTGTCACAAAGAAAAATAAACGTTTTAGTGCATATTGAAAGAAAAAAAAATCTGGCTCTCGACTTTTGGAAATTGACGTGCCTGAAATTAAAGTTGATGTGAATCCTAGGTATGGTTCCACTTTGCGAAAAGATCCCTTCCATTCTAAAGTCCTCCGCTGACAAACTCGCAAAATTTATATTTTTTTACCGTCTTTCTTGTTTGGTTTGTTTATAGCCTTTTGCTGAAGTTTGTTCAGGACTCTCACATAAACCGTGTTTTCACAAGCTCGCATGAATATGAAAATTAATGTCAGCGAGAAGCTGGGGTATCACCGCGTGGTGGAAATTTTTAACAACCCAGAGTGAGGATAGTTCAACTTCCCCTGCTGGTGCAAGCACGTGTAATGCTATGCACTATATAAATGAAAACATAACAGCGTGGGCAGCACGCGCGCTACCGGTGGTGAGGAAAACAGAAGCGCCCCTCACGAGCTTCTCACCGCGAATAAACGCGTGCATTTAGAACTGGCGTTATGCTGTTGTGACCCGCCGGTTCTCTTCGCGAACGTGCAGATGCCACAAGGAGATCGTGGTCTTCTCCGTGGGTACGCTGGGCATCAGCACCTTGGTGTGCGCGCTGTACGCTTTCATCTTCATGGGCACCAACACGCTGAAGAACAGCCTGATCTTCGGCATACTCCTGTGCTCTAACGAGCGGTTCCCCATGGCCGACAAGCTGTTTGAAGAAGGTCGCTACCCGATCCTCACGACGATGCTGCAGGCAGAGTCCGCACTCAACAACATCTTCGTCTGGTCCGTTCTTGGATACGTCGACGACAGATTGAGCGGAAGGGTAGGCCACAGTTCAATTTTCTTGGAAACGCTCGGAAGTCTATCGCCCCTATCTTTTACTGACTGGGAATAGACCGATCTCATCAGTCAGTTTCGGTACGCTACGGCTGCTGCGATGCATTGAAAAAACTTTTTTTTTTTTTTTTTTGTAAATACAATTTACCCCAAGTACGGGGCTTTAACAGGTGTAGGATATAAGAGAACAGTCAAATATACAATATCAGGGCTACAACACAGTAGACATTCAGCGACGTCTACTTATAATAAAGGGGCTGAAATAGCCCAGACATTCGATATATTATCTAGCTCTGAACAAAATTAATTGTCAGTACTTAGCATCCACTACTGAGCAAAAATATTAGAACTACTATTTGTCAGTCCATCTTACACGTATTTAGAAGGGCTCTCTCAAGTTCATCTAGAGTCTAGACAGTCCGATGGTAAAATATTGTGCGGGAGATTATTCCAATCTTTTACAGTTCTACGGAAAAAAGAAAACTTATATAAGCGTCAATATTACATTTGGGCACTTCGAACTTATTAATGCTCACGTGTCTCAGTTCGCTCGATACGCGAGGTGTTAATCTAGAATTCGGTTCAATATTATATAGGTGATGAGAAAACATAAAGAAAAACTTTAGTCGAGCAATTTTGCGACGGACCAAAATGAAGGGGAGATATAGGCTGTTCAGCATATCTGTGACAGAATCAAGTCGCTTGTATCTGGATAGAATAAACCGCACCGCCTTCCTCTGAACTTTCTCGAGTTCCCCAATTTGATTTTTTTCTTTCTATAGGGGTCTTATACCGATGGAGCGTACTCCAAGGTTGGCATAATATACGTTGTGTAGGCCACTTCCCTTGAGGCAGAGCACAGTTCAGATTTCGTCTTAAAATACAAAACTTTGTTTTTGCTTTGTGGCATATTTTATTTATGTGCTTACTCCAACTTAAGTCTTTAGAAATTATCACACCCAAGTATAAAACTATCGACTTCAACCAAAGGATTCCACCAAGCTCAGAAGTAAAGGAAAGAACATTCTTAGTTTTGTTGGTTATTCGGGCAAACGCTGATTTTGTGCGTATTAATTTTCATCTTCCATTTTGAACACCAGTCCTGAATAGACCTAACGGATGCACTTAACCTGCGCTGGTCGTCTTCCTCCCTGATTTTTTTTTTTAATATACCAGGCAATCATCCGCAAATAGCCGTACAGTAACCCCTGAGTTTATTTCCGCCGCGATGTCATTAATGTTAATGAAAAGTAATACTGATCCGAGTACTGACCCCTGGGGGACGCCCGAGGTCACCTCGGATACTATTGGACAGGCACCGTTAACCTCTACATACTGCACCCGATTAGATAAATACGCCCTGATCCACAATATCACGCTATGATTTACACCATGCAAAGAAAGTTTATGCAGTAGTTCAGTGTGTGGTACTTTATCAAACGCCTCAGAAAGGTCAAGGCATACCACATCAAACTGTCCCGGTTCATTAGAAGAAGCGGCAAAATCGTCAAATGCTTCTTTGAGTTGCGTGACTGTCGATAGGTGCTGGCGAAACCCGTGTTGGTTAGTGTGAAAAATGTTGGAGGATTCGATATACTTAATAATGTTTTAGAAATAATGTGCTCAAATGATTTGCATACTATGCACGCTTTCTAAATAAATAGTTAATTAATAATTTGCATACTATGCACGGTACTTTTCAAAATTATGCTTACTTCCTTTTTTTAAAGAATTGGTACGACCCTTGCACTGCGCCATGGTGTTTTTTAGTGACGTTCGAAAAATAATGGTGAGATATTTTAAAAACTATTCTGCATATGTTTTTAAAAACTTCTTTGGCAATTTTTCTGGCCCTGTTGACTTATTTACGTCTAAGTTTAATAGTAAAGAAAACATCCCTCTTCAGTAATTATTATGTCCCCCATAGTACTACTTGTCGCATTGAAGCTCAATTCGTCTATAGCATCGTCTGTATTAACAAACACACTGTTGAAAAAAGTATGAAACCTATTTGCGATATCTTTTGGATCGGCCACAATTTCATTGGTTTCAATGATATATTTCAATCGCTCTTTCCGAGGTTTTAAGCGGCAACAAAATTTGTCGGGTGAATTGTTAATAAAATTCGGCAGAGTTAAAAAAAAATAACGTCCCTTCGCTGAACTCAACTTTTGCTTAAAAAGACATGAAACTTCTAGGAACTCTTCCTCGTTTTCTTTTCTTTTACGACGTTTATGTTTTATTTGACGCTTGCGTTGTTCAATCTCTAGGTTTACCCACGGATTAAATTTTTTTATTGATTTCTTTTGTTTGGGTATAAAATATTCTAAGCAATTGGCAACAATGCCTTTAGATTCAGCCCATAAAAAAATCCGCGTCATTTGTACCATCGAAAGTTGAAAACCCACAAAAATGACAGATCGATGTAATCTAACACACCTTCGTCGTTCGCTTTAGAAAAATTAGGCACTTGATTAGAACACTTTGTTTGTTTACAAATTTTAGCACTTTCGAAACATGAAAATACTAATCTATGATCAGAGATACCCTCGTGAACAGACACTTGACACTCGAGTAAATGACTACTGACAAATATATTAATTCTAACAACGAGCAGCTGTTTCCAACTTCACGAGTCAGGCAATTGTTAAGTGCAATATCGAGAAGAAGTTCGCAATTAATTACATTCATATGTCCTGCATCAAGGTGATCCCGATTAATTTCAGGCAAATTAAAATCTCCAGCAATAATTACTCTGGTTCCAAGCCTAATGTTAGTACTAAGGTAATCGTGTAGTGCTTCCAAGACTGAATTAGGAGCATCCGTAGGTCTATAAAATGCACAGACGACGTAGTGTTTATTACAAAAATTTATGTTACACCATATACTTTCAACTTCTTGAATATCTTTCATTACTACATAGTCGATATTATTTTTAAGAATCAATACTACGCCGCCTCCTCTGGTTTTTCTATCTTTTCTTACCATCTTATACCCTGGTAGTATAGTAGCTCTTCGTCACTTATTTCTGGGTGAAACCATGTTTCTGTTACTACGACGACATCGGGGTTATAGAGCATTAGTACCTGCTCGAGTTCAACAACATTATTAGCTAGACTGCGCGCGTTTAGATTTATCGCACGTAGTTCCTCGTTTTTTTTCTCTCAGAAAGTCACCCTTTATTATTATCGGATTTGTTTCTATTAAGCTTGACGCGGCAATTATCCTTGTAATGCCACGAGTGGAAATCATCGTTTATATTAAAGTTAACACGAACGAGCTTTACCCGCGCGCCATCACCCCCTCTCTGCTCTTGAAATTGCATTCTTCGTCTGGTTTTCGTGATCCGTGAAAGTCAACTGAAATAGATATTCTTGATCCCTTTAATTTTTTGCAGTTGCGAAAGATTTCATTTTTTTGTTGTTGAAATCTGCAAAGTTCATGATTACTGGCAGAATTCTGTTGGGTTGCTACCGTCCAATTCTGTGCACTCGTACGATCGACTTTACTGGAACTCCCAGGCGGTTTTGGAAAACATCCGCGACTACTTTCGATTTTAAGTCTTCGTTTCTTTCGTCTTGGTTCTCAGGGGTACCAAAGATTACCAAGTTGTTTCTTCGACTACGATCTTCTAGGTCGACAAGTTCCTCCGGTTGGGTTTGAATGGTCGCATTCAACTTTTTGCGGTATTTTCAAGGCGTCACTGTTCTTGACAGGAGTTTCGAGTTGAATAATGTTTCTTGTGAGTTCGAGTTGAAACGTTAGTCTTTCTGCACGTGCGATAACCTCGCTGAGTGTCTACGCGAGCCAAGGCACCAAATGTCGCGCACACAGCCGCCAGTCTCCTGTGGACTAAAGTTACGGTTGGGTCACGCATGCGTGGAGCCCATAGTGAGATGAGTCTATTCGGGTACAGCGGGAAGTGTAAAACATGGCCCGTGAAGTGTCGTTCAGGGCAAGTGTGCGTGCAAGTTGCTAATGATGGAAGGTAGTATCCAAGAGAATGGGGGCGCTGCCGAGCACAATGAGCCAAAACACGTAAGAGCAAGTAATATGGTTGTGCTTCTCGAAAAAATACGTGGACAGGGAGGTATACACGACGTTTCGGGCGGACGCCTTTCTTCAAGTAATAGACGCGAAAGACGGCAAGAAACAGGCAGGGGTCGTACACTGCCAGCTTCGAGCCAAACTCAGCAAATTATGAAAAGCCCGGTACCTAAGGTCAAAGTCTACCAGAGCGAGGTCCGTAAGAAGCTTGTCCTAATACCCTTTGTTCTTAGATTTTAGCATTGTTCATTTACCGCTAATATACCTCAATCGTTCAGTATAAATAATAATGGCTAAGTGTGTCTCGGTATATGCTTCGTTCGAATATGCATGGCCTGCTATGGGCTATGTATGCTTTGTTTCCTTCGCCTGCGCGTAACGGCTATTTTTTACACTAGGGCGTAACGGAATATTCAAACAATTGCGTTTGCTTACGATTCAGGCTTAGTCATCTCTCATAAAAAAAGAACAGACTGGTACGCTGGCACCATCCATGGTTGGTGCCAGGAACTTCATTTCACTAGAGTGAAGGTTTTGCAGTATTTGCGAGATCGAATGTACACACGGTCTAAGCGGAATGCCCGTTTATAACATTGCCGAAAGATTTTTTGAGTCAAGAAAGAAAGGCTCGTGCGCGAAAAGATGAGAAATATACGGAAATGCTAACTGTTTTACGGCCACCCGGCAGATGGCGCCAGTGTGTTCTCTCGTCGTAAGTAATCCCAATAAGTCTTAAGACACGAGGTCGTAAACAGTTGCAAGTGTACGAACCACGAAAGAGGGACAAAGGACAAACATAATGTTTGTCCTTTGTCCCTCTTGTTCCCCTTCTCCAGGGATTATTTTCGGCGTTCTTGTCCAGCTCGCTTGCACCTTTGCATTTAATTGCATCATAATTGTGCGAACCAGCCTGAAAACTTAAAAAAAAATCAAACCAATAAAGTCAACTTCCATTGAAAAGTAAAATATGCTGAAGGAAAATTTTAATCTCTCTCCTTGTACCACTTTGAGGGAACAGCGCGGATGAACAGTCACACTCACATGCACACAAAAGGAGACAGACTCGCAGCGCTGACTAACAACTCAGTCCTATATTTCTTCTTCCTCAAATCTTCAACTTCTTCACCTTTGCCGTTAATGACAACAATTTAAATTTTTTACCAGGGACCAAATAGCCAATAAACATGAATAAATAACTATACTTAAATAAATAAAAGACAACTAAAATACTATTAAAAATACTATTAAAATTAAATTATAAATTAAGCGAAAAATTTTCTCATCACTATTGGTGCTTTGATGACATTTCTAGATAATCCAATTCTTTCTTTGACAAAGCTGAGGATGATACACTAACACATTGGTTGTCCAACCTGGCTATTTTTTCAGCTTCGATGATCTCTCTTGTCAGCTGATTACCACTTCTGGCAATGACAGTGCAGTTACTCAGGTCCGCTGAACACCCGCAATCCCGACAATGGATTCCTAGATTCCCTGATATTACTCTGTTTATGTTGTAATGATGCTCTCGTAACCGGTCATTGAGACACCTCCCGGTCTGACCGACATACTGTTTTCCGCATGAGAGGGGAATGGCATAAACCATTCCATGCTCTGAAGGGGTGGTTTATGCTATTCCCCTCTCATGCGGAAAGCAGTATGTCGGCCAGACCGAGAGGTGTCTCAATGACCGGTTACGAGAGCGTCATTACAACATAAACAGAGTAATATCAGGGAATCTAGGAATCCATTGCCGGGATTGCGGGTGTTCAGCGGACCTGAGTAACTGCACTGTCATTGCCAGAAGTGGTAATCAGCTGACAAGAGAGATCGTCGAAGCTGAAAAAATAGCCAGGTTGGACAACCAATGTGATAGTGTATCATCCTTAGCTTTGTCAAAGAAAGAATTGGATTATCTAGAGATGGTCATCAAAGCACCAATAGTGATGAGAAAAATTTTCGCTTAATTTTTAATTTAATTTTAATAGTATTTTTAATAGTATTTTAGTTGTCTTTCATTTATTTAAGTATTAGTTATTTATTAACGTTTATTGGCTATTTGAACCCTGGTAAAAAATTTAAATTGTTCTCATTAACGGCAAAGGTGAAGAAGTTGAAGATTTGAGGAAGAAGAAATATAGGACTGACTTGTAAGTCAGAGCTGCGAGTCTGTCTCCTTTTGTGTGCATGTGAGTGTGACTGTTCATCCGCCCTGTTCCATCAAAGCATGAATTACCAACTTGCCCAAGCATCGACAATATCAACCTTGCGCCGCATTCGTCCTTCTTAGTGACGATTATTGGAACTTTATTCCAGTAAAATGACAACCATAGTAACATAAGACAAGGCAGGTAATACTCAGTATTTCGTTACCTATACTGCGAGTATCGTTGGGGCAGCTTTGACTAGCAACTTCGTCACGCTTTCCCAGAGCGACATCTGGACGCTGCTGAAGCACCTGGTCCTAAAGCACGCGGTAGGCCTGGTGTTCGGCGTCGCGATGGGCACCCTGGCCATTCGGTCCCTCCGCCTGGCGCCGCAGAGCCAGAGCAGCAACACCATCCTCCTGGTGGTCCTCACCTACGTGACCTTCTGCACCCTAGAGTGGTCCGGCAGCTCGGGCGTCGATGGCGTGGTGGCCTTTACGCTGATGACCAACTCGAACCGCCTTGTGGCCTGTACCGAACTCGAGGGACTGCTGCAGAAGTACTGGTCTGCCATCTACGACGTGTCGGGCTTCATGTCCCTCTTTATGACGTCGCTGTACACGGGCGAGCTGCTCTTCATATTCTTCCAGAAGGAAGAGCTTAAGTACGCCATCTGGTCGTACTGCATGCGCACGCTGGTGCGCTTCTTCGCCGTTGCGGCGCTCTTTCCGATAATCGAGCAGTTCGGCTACCCGGTGTCCTGGAGGCAGGCAGTCGTCACCGTCTGGATGGGGCTTAAGGGACCTCTGAACATCACCGTTGTGACCTACTACTACCACCGGCAGGCGACCACCAACGTGGACTTCGTCGCCAAGGTAATTTGGACAGGATACAGAGAAACCTCGCGAGCCTTCGGGACTTGAATGAAACAGACACGCTGGAGGGAAAAAAAGTCTTCGGGTATTTTCGTACAATGCTAAGAACGGCCTGTTTGTGTGTGTGCGCTTGGGAAGGGGGGGGGGGGGGAGGTGGTCGAATGACTGATACAGGGGCAGGCGAGCTTGTTGGTTTTGTTTAGGATGCCAGGTTTAAACCTGAGGCGACAATTAAGGAACATAAAAGAAAGCAGGCAAGAGTGTTGGTTTCACGATTTCTTAAAGTTTTGTAATCTCGCTTTCTCGCAACCTTCAAAAACTTATACATTATGTTGTTTTTTTAGTGAACAATGCATTTTTTCCGGAGCAGCCGAATCGAATCAAATTCAAAATAATTTCGTCCTACGGTAAAAAGGAATACGATATCAGACGAAGCGGCAGATTGCATCATCCTCGGTAGCGCCCTGAAGGAGTTAGCGAAGTCCCTTAGAAAAAAGTCAGCTGCGCCACTCTAAGACTTCCAGAAGGTTCATTTTCAAATATAATTCCTACGAACTTCGACTCTGCCTTTGCGGCTCGTTTTGTTGGCGTAGATTGCCGAATACATCTCTTCCCAAAACTAAAAGTGGGGTTTACAACGGTTACAAGAAACATCCATGCATTGCCGTGTTTATTTGGCAAAAGCCGGGATCAGAAGAAGGAACCTGTTATCATTCCTGCTCTTGAGACCACGGTCCCAATTTTTTTCGATGATTTTGACCCATGGCTACTAATGGTCACTCGCGAACGACGAGTTCGACAAATGTTTCCGAGGAGCAAGGTGGAAGTTTGTAATCACTTGTTTGCCGTCTAAGTTGGCGTTCTGGCATAACCGTTCTTTCTGATGGTAAAAACACGTTCACCCTATAGGCAAGCTCTTGAACCGACAACAGGCTTAATGTATTTTTATACAATTAAAATAATTTGGGCGCTACCTTTTTTTTTTTTTTTTTGATCCCAGTCGTCATCTCCAGAAATATTTATCTCCGGGTTTTAACAGCTGTAGTTACTGACAGCCCGAGATGAGCAGCAGTGCGGCTTATTATGCTGATGCTTCTTGCTTCGCGATTTGTCCTTTGGCATCCTCATCGGCCAGCGACTCAGCCTTCGTAAAGAATAATAGTGGACTGTACGCTAGAGCTTCGCGTTGCTAGCGGGAGCTCGTGCTATTAGTCCACAGCATGGATTGAGCACGCGTCCGCTAAACACCCGCAATCCGCAGCGTATATGGTCTAGTAAAATTTTCTATTTCTCTAGACCGATAATAAAATTATTGGGACTCGCTACGGTTTTATTTCTTTCTTTTTTTAAGCCGCTAGAGACTTTAGCAAAACCGCTATTCTTCTCGACTTTTTCAGACATTCCTCAACATGGTTTGCGACACCTTTCTCACCCAGCTGATAAACCTCACCTTTCTGGAGTCTGTTTTTAGGATATTTGGTAAGTTGTTCACTTTCAATGCGCGCCAGAATGAACCAAAATACTTCTTTAGAAAAAAAATCAGGCAAAAGCGAAACTACGCTGAACCAGTCCAATAACATTGAACGGCTGACGTTATGGTGAAGGACTCCGCTGCGGCAGGTACAGTTGTTTACACTGTGGCGTTCTTGCGTTTACCGTATCCCTACGCCTCTGTATGGCTACAGGTGGCGTTTTCCCTATCACGAGTTCGGTAAACGACATTTCTCAACACCCAGCCGTTAAAGATGGCGAAGTACACATCGCTTCTACGAGAGCCGATCGGTGTCAGAACGCTCCTTCGACAGAAGTGATAACTTCCTCGTTGAAGGGTGGCTAGGCATCTTTTGTAGTTCTCTGCGTTTTTTTCGGAACCTGTGGAAGGAAATCTGCAATTGAAAAATTAGGTGTTATGAAAATGCAAGTATCACACTGGCTGAGCTGGGTGAATTTAGCGGGATTATGTGACTTTTGCGTATTGATGACTTCCATCATTTTAAGAGCAAGAAATCCTCCCCCGCTCTCCCCGGCTCCCTCAAATTTCTGCACGACACATTGCTTCTTAGTGTTCAAATACGTAGACCCACACGAGCCATCATTAGTACACGGCCATCAGGGGTTTCATGTACAACAAAGATTGTGCACAATAAGTAATACAAAAACGAGTAAAACCTCAAGTTGCTGTACAGGGTGTTTAAAATTAAAGTTTCAATTCTAAAATCACCTGCAAAAACTAGGCACTCGACGTGTCAAGCAGAAACTTTAACTCGAATACGTATTTTGCTGGTCAGATTTTCGCATTAAAACTCTGAGTCCCAATTTCAAATACAAAAAAAGTCTATGCTTTTACATGGGTCAGTTTCTTTATTTTTTATTTTTTTTTATTTTCATCGTACTTGAAGCAAAGGCATGAAATTTTAATGTGTAAATGGGAGAAGTAACATACTTATTCGAGGTTAGTTTCAACTTGATACGTTGAGCCGCTTATTTTTTAGTGTCTCAAAATAAAGCTACAAGCTACAATTAATGACCCGTCAAAAATTAGCAACTGAGCGTAGCAAGTTAAATATGTATTTTACTTGCCTCATGTGTAAAATAAAATTCAAATGTCTAATTTACGTACGAAAAAAATATGTGTACTTTAAATTAAGACTTGAAATTTTAATGCGCAATTTCAGCCAGTAAACGACGTATTCGAAGAAAGTTTCTCCTTGATATGTCAAGTCCCTGATTTTTGCGGGCAATTTTAGGGTCGAGCCTCTACTTTGAAACACCCTGTAGTCGTAGAGCAGCAGGTTTGTAGTGAAGCAGAAGCTGCAAGCGCGTACATGTTGGTTTGCATAAAGCAATGGCTGCACAGGTGTGTACGCGCCGCAGACAGGTTGAAGCGTGGGGTCGTATGACTTCGTGCGCAAGTTGGAAGCACCGCGAGCTTGCGCATGCGTGAGAGTGTACGCGCTCACGAAGCTGTCATGTCCACAAGCGGTACCACGAGCAACATTACATTAATATCTGACGCTTTAATTTCTTCAAATGAGGTGAAACTTTAAAAAAAAACTCGACCTCCAAACGCTACAAAGTAAGATTAGAAACATCGGCCTCAAACGCACAAGGAGCGTTGAGTGGCAACGGCTCGTGTTCCGTTCTAACACTTGCTCGGCTATATAGGTCGCTGAATATCCCCACCCGACCGACGCCCCTCAACCGATATTGAGCACATTTACGAATACGTACCCACTCTGCTTACACGGGTACGGAGCAGTACGTTTGCATCGTGGGCCGTGGAAATAATGCAATCAGACTAGCTTGTACGGCCTATGCTGCTCTTTGCAACGACGCACCCACCAGTCCCCTTCAGCATGGCGGCTGGCGCTGGTTGTCGTTGCGTACGACATATGGCGCTTTTTTCTATGAGGAGTTAGAGTAACTGTATATGCTCAGCCTATACAGTTACTCTATGAGGAGAATATTGCAGGCTCAGAAGGCTCAGAAGGGTCGGCTAGTGCGATTCTCCCACTGAGGGCTTAAAGGGGCCATGAAACGACATCGGGTTGGAATGTCATGACTTTGGAGAGGCGTGGTCCGTCTGGCCCGAGTATTCTCGCACGCACCACCACTTGTTCAGAAGCTTCTTTGTCGCGGTGAAATTGCGAGGATAGAAGCGGACTATTTCCTTCACTTTTTCCCTCGCAAAGCTCGATGACGTAATTGTGGGACCAAAACCACCCGCATGACGACAGTCGAGCGTGAGCAGTCGACTTCGACTTACAACAATCAACGCCTCGGCAGACACTTGGATATAGTGGCTCGTGTCCAACCACTGCGGTGATGAGAACAGCTGAACTCGCAGGTGTGCAGTTATGTCGTGTAATTTCGCAGGTTGAAATCTGCCTCTTTAACACAACTTCTCTGTACTTTTAAGCTCATTACGTGCAGACGCATTTTGTTTGCTGCTTATTTTACAGTTGGTTTTGAGATAAATAGACACCTTTCGAAAGTCATGTGCCGAGTATTAGAAGGCCGGAAGCACTGCACAAAGACGGAACAACAATAGAGTTATTAAAATAAACGCTAGAGGCTCAGCTGGCGCTAGTGTCTACGGGACTTCCGGTTGCAAATTGAAGCAGACAGAAACTCTGTGTATTCCAATAAAAAAACGTACGTGATATTTTTCTCTTCGACAGAGAATAATAGAAATCAGCGCATTTTCTTTACTCGTAACGGGTCCTATGTAGCTTCATTCACATTATAAAAGTGTAATTTTTTTAGTTAATGTTCTTTTTTTGTTGTTTTAAGTTGGAAAAAACTGAGGCCCCCGTCTAAGTTGTACAATATTATGTGTCGACACAAGCTATCAATTCAAGCGATAAGAACAATTAAAAAGTGCGTAGGATTTATTCAAGCTGCAATTATTTTTATTATTTATGCACAGTTTGTCACTAATCCAGTACGTGTTCTTAGATCCATAACTCCATGCTTCGTTTTTATCATCTGTTTTGGTTGCTTGATTTGGCGTATATTAGCATCCTTTTGGTGTTTTGTCAAAGCTGATTCACTCCATGTGCCTCGTAGCATTGACTATATGCGTAAATTCGTGCCCTATCAGTCTGCAACGTCAACAGGTATTGGGCTATTTTGGCGCAGTGTTCGACGCCCCATGATTTCTAAAGAAAACCGCTCTAACTGACACACGTGTTTGTACATCCGATTATAAACCGTTCCAAGCGTTTTATTTGTCACAACACTCTTATAATCGAGCGCGAAGAGAAAACGCATTACGTTTTCCCATAGGAATGCATTACCGGAAGTCAAATTTAGACTGGTTGCTGTCTGCTTCAAAATGCAACAGCACACTAGGGCAACTTGAACCTCTAGTGTCTTTGTTAATAACTCTATGGGAGCAACTTACATCGCGGAACGTGCAAGTCATCCCATAAGATAGCGAACGTCGGCGCGTCACCGACGTACGCTATAGGAGCCGACTAGCCAATTTAACAGCGTCGGAAGGGAAAAGCCACTACGCTCATCACCTTTTTCTGTGGGTGTCTTTCATTCCATCCAAACGCATAAAGTGTGCCGTCACGTTGCGGTCCTAGTCCAGCACTGTGCAAGGATTCCACAGCTGCCAACAAAGAGCAGTTTTACAGCGAAGCTGTTATGGTGCTAGGACCTGGAAAAAAATGTGTCCACGAACGTTAACAAAAAACTGCCGTTGAAACGGCGCTCCTTCGTTGCGATTGGTCGTGGCAAGTCTAAATAAAAAGAGCGGGAAACCCGGTGGAGTCAGCGTTTTTTGGCATTATTAGATAGTGAGGTCCTGATCCCATGTTACCATCGTGCGCTGTGACGAGGCTGAGGGCAGAACGCGCCGATCTAACCTTCTTTTCTTTCGCTTCTGTTATGCTGATAAAGAGACTTGGGCTCATTATCAGCATCGCTGATAAAGAACTCTCAAGTCGCTGTAAAACCTAAAGTAGTCGTATACCAACACGTATACCTACACCAACGACTAGAAACGGAACGTGTATCGACTTCACGTTTACCAAGAACGCATCCGAAATAAAGAAATAGCCAATAGTAGTTTACCATAGTGACCATAAGGCAATGATCACTTTAGTCATTAAGAGTTAAATAAAGACAATTAAACAATAAGGTCGTGTACGCGTCTTTATTGCAATCATAAGTAAATCGTATAAATGACCTATGGTTATCTTAAAGTTATCGTAAAGATAACAGCTTCGCTATTCCTCCATCTTCACGTGAAGTGGCTGGGCTTTATTACAATTTTTCAAGGGAGATTGTATCACGTACTATATCGCGGACAAGATATGTCCCTCACGCTTCTTTGGCATACTTGAAAGTTTTTGGAAAAAGAAGACGAGGGCCAACTGGCGCTGATGTACCATTCACGGGCTCCCGCTTTCGGAGATCTCAATCACCGGCAAAAGGTATAATCCAACAACAATTCTGGTCTCAATCAACGCAGTTCGTCGCAAGGAACAAGTGCACACCATCATCCAGCGCGTGAGTGAATTTCCCTCGGAAATATCGCTTCTCGAAGTTCCCAAGCGACGGCCGCCACGCGAAGCCTAACCAGGTACGCAGCATTTTACTCTGCGCTCGTGCGCTAGGCACGTGCCTTCGCCCCACGCCGCCTCCGGCTCACAACCCAAGCATGGCAACGGCCATGGAGGCAAGCGATGCTACGGATATCCCCCTCCAAGAAGACCAACCCGAACGAGACGACTGGGTAGAAATACGCAGGCAAAGATCCAAAAAGGTCAAGCCACAAAATACCGAGGCCACAATCTCAGTCTCTCAACCGACGCCGCAGAGGGCCCCAACTAGACAACCAAGACTACCTCCGCTCCCTCGAGACGATTTCAAAATTATTATTCGCCCGCGAGGACCCTTAAATCTTGCCAACCTCGAGACTATCCACCTCTCTCGCGCCATCGCGGAGAAAACTCGGCAACATACCCGCGACCGACCAAACTCGACAACATTCGAAGTCCGCATGGACAGAATACAAAATATCGCCATCGCAAGCACCCCAAGTGAAGACCTGGCCCGACACATCAGAGACATTTTAACCCTGCGTTTTGGTGACAACGAATATGCAGTTACCGCTTATATTGCCGCCCCCGACGACTCGGTTCGCGGCGTGGTGCGTGGCATCCCGCCCGAGACTACTGGCCAAGAACTAATCGACAATCTCTACTCGCCGGGCTATGAAATTCTTTCAGCCCGAATGGTCGGAAAAACATCGACAGCTCTTATTACTTTCACCGGCAAGCAATTACCGAAATATGTCATCTTCGAGCACGCAGCACTTCCATG